TCACATTGGTTCCGGAGTAAGCAAAGGTGTTGACCTTGACCTTTCCACCCTCGGCGCGGGGATCCAGATGAGTGCCGTAAGCGCAAGAAGCCAGGACTTGGGAGACGGAAGCGGCAAAGACGCCGGCGGTGAAGAGACGAGAAGCCATTGTAAGGACGGTAGGGTACGGACCAGCTCGTGAAGGCCTACAAAAGATTGAGAGAAGAGAAGAGTAGTAAGAAAAAAAAGTCAATTATTGGTTAAACAGTGTAAAGGCCAGCCCTCTAGGGGAAGAAACGAAACGAACGGGGAAGAGAAGTGAAGTTGGTAAAGGTTGGTGAGGTAAGAAACGAGATGAACCAGGAAAAAAGAGTACGTCTGTGTCAAGATGGCATGATGTCTATATAGTTTAGAGCTGGAGTCGTCAGTTGAAGGATGGTTATCGAGATGATCGCCCTCGAAAGTCCAGAAATAGCATCAAAGACAGCGACCCATGGGTAGATGCTCGGAGCGGACGAGGCAGGAGGGACGGAATGATGGTGAGGGACTTGGCAAGCGCTTCATCCAGGGTTGTGAGAGGAGGCGGGAGGCGAAGAGGGCGCAATGAGCAGCCGTGGGCGAGTGAAGAACGAGGATAAGGGTGCCTTGGGTTTGGGGATGAGCGCCTCCGTTTCCCATGGTATCGTAGGCGTGTTTCTGGCGGTGCTGACGGGGGCGGTTCAAGCTTCTCCATCCAATGCGACAGCATGCCATCTGGACTATGGGACCGCAAGCATGGCCGTGGCCAGTGTGTTCTCGCCCGGCAGTGGGCGATGGCTGTCGAGACGGAGGAGAGGGGCCGTTTGCAGCGGCGGGCGGAATGACCAGGGCCCCGGTCTGGTTGACAGGATGGGAGTCCGTCGCCAGGATGAAACTGCCAGGCTCCGGAGGGTTGGAAAGGCTGTGGGGAATATGACCACTTTATCGGTTGAAGGCTTGGCTCAGCAAAAGGTCGAGCAGAAAATCCATGGGGATGCGTAGCACGAGTCTCAATGAGGCAGCGCGACGTGGCGGCGAGCGACAGTCTTGGTTCGGACGGAGGTGAAGCCCCGTCCCCATGTTCATGTTCTTTGCGCTGGGTGGTGATCTTCCTCTTGAGACGAAGGCGATCAACCGGCGCTCAACACCATGGGGAGCGATCCTTAAAGGCCATGATGGTGATTTCCCGGAGGCGGCAGGCGAGGACTAAAAATAAGCATTCGAAATGATCTGCTTCTAGGCAAACAGCCGTTCAAGTGCAGTTTGGAGAAATAAGCGGGCGGGAGGAATTTTCCAAGAGAAGGACAAGAAATGAGGCTCTATCCAAGAGAAGTCCAAGAGATGCACCCAAGACCAGAAGGTGGGGAGGGGGAGGCCACTGGACCTTCCCTCTTTCCATCGAGAGGCACAGTTGCAGACAGGTACGTACACATCTCTGCACGTGTGTTCCATGCTTCATGCCTTCCTGGGTGAGCAGGTTGAGGTAAGGTAGGAGGAAGTCTTGGACTGGAAGGCGGCAAGTGCGATGCCTGCCGCAGCTTAACCTTCTCTTTTGGTGGAGCAGAAGAAGAAGGGGAGGGAAAGAAGGCTTGGCAGTTCCCGTCTCACGCGTGGCAGTGGCAGTCCTTTCCTGCGTTACCTTAGGTTGACAGTGGAGGGCGGTCAGGGACCAGCTCACAGCTAAAAACCTTAATGGGCCGTTGGTAGCGCCCTAAACCTTAAGGCCTTTTAGGGCCTGCCGGCGTCCATTGGAAGGAGGCGCCCAGCACAGGCCTCAGGAGCGCCTGCCTCCTCGGACTCTTGCCTGCTGTGTTCGGACGACACAGGGGGAAAGAGGCGGTCCACTTTTCGTACCTTCCAGCCGTCGCAGCTGCGCACTGAGACGACGCTCTGGACAGGAAGCAGCCAGTTCCAGGCCGCAGCAGGAGGCACCGGCACCGCAGCTTCTTCTTTCAAGTGTCGCAGAGTCGACGCCTCCGGCAGCAGGAACGATTGAATGAGGCCTGACGAAGACATTTCGTGATGAGGCTAGCACAGATCAAGTCATTGGATCCCGTGGGGATGGGTGCGAGAAGGGATGACAGGAAGAAGGGGCAAGAAAAAACCGCCTGATTTTTGCAGAGCCAAGAGCTTGAATGGCCGCCAAGTCAAACCAGGGCGCTGGTGATGGCAGGGGTTGCAGAGGTAAAGGTCCAGCCCCAAGACCCTGAATTGCGCTGCTCCCACTGGTGGCTGCAGTCTCTGTGGGCAATAAGCTGCCTGACTAAGCTCCCCCCCAGTGTCAGGTCGTGATGTGGGAGGGGCCGCCGCTGGCCGTCTGCGTGGCAGCGTACCATCCAGGCGGTACGCCGCTGAAAGCCCCTTCCCTGCCCGCCGCAAAATCCTCGCTTATTTCTCCTTCAGCGCCTCGACCTGCTGATGGACGCGCTGCTCGTCAACTAACACGCGGCCAGTTGACCACCGGCCGCGCCTCGCCAAGTCTTGCAGCTCCTGATTTCTTCTGGGCGCGTCTCACCCTTTCCAGGGCCTGCGACAAACCATCCGCCTCCACCTCCAGACCATCACCAACTTCACGTTGCATTCGCCTTCTCTTCAGCCCCTCCCCCTCGCCCTCCGCCTCTGTCTGCGAGCACTTCCACCAGTCAGCATACTCCGTCAAGCCTCAACGCGCCTCACCTGCAAGCCATACCATCCCTAGCACCTTTTCCGCCGTCGTCTCGACCTCCCGTCGGTACAGCCTGCCTGTCTTCGAAGCCTCTTGGCGCGCCTCCAAACGTCAGACGCCCCTCACCGCGCCAAGTCCCATCGCCTACCGGCATCGCGTCTGATGTTTGACGACGACATGGGGCATGTTGAAGCCATCCCCATTCTTCTGCGCCCGCCACCACTCAGAACCACGAAACCACTGCGGAAGACCCGGTTCCCAGACTCCACGCGACGAACAGAGGGCACGCTGTCGTTCAGCGGGGAGGCCTGATGTGTTCTGTTTGCCTCGACCATCGCATGGCCCGTACTCGGCTCCCGGCGCGTCATTCGGCCACCGCCCAGAGTTACACTCATGTTCGCTTTCGTTATCCGTATCCCATCCATGCTCCCCACCGCCGCCGGCTTGCCAAGTCGCCCAGCTCTGTCGTCCCAGACGCTCACGAGGGCACTCAATTTGAATGCGACGTCGGTCACCATACCTACCGACATCATCTTGCCTGCCACCTTGGCAGATACCGAATGCCGTCTTGGAAGCCAAGCAGTCGTCATCTCCCCATGGCTTCAGGTTTCTGACCTGGTTTTGCGACGCATAAACCGCGCACATGAGGACAAGCCAGTGTTAGCCAAGCCAACGACTTCTCATCTCCATACTCGTTCCCGTCGTGTCGGAATGTCCTTCGGTTCTCTCAACTTCCGCGGGACCAGCGTCTCTTCGGCGATGACCAAGACTGCACATAATCTCCCGAGATGTCTCACAACAGGGAAACAGGCGTCCCTCCTTTCTTCACGGCTCCCTCTGTGTGCTGCCTTGATCTGGCTCGATCACAACCGGCGTTTCTACAACAGTGAAAACCCAAACGGAAAAGGGGCTCACTGGCCCAGACATTTGCTTTTCCGACAAAGTCTTGAATTTGTCTTGCAAGCCACGCCACCGCCGAAAATCTTGCTTCCATCAGGCGGATGCTCCTGGCTCATGGGAGAGGCTGAGAGGTTCTTCTGTGGAGGAAGTTCTCAGGTCTGGGCTCAGGTGGACGAGTCCTCCTCTGTCAAACCACTCGAAACCATCCTGCCTCTGTTCAGCACCACTGCGTGTGCGACGGTGTTTGGAAGTCTCACCACTTACAGTCATGGAGGCTTCGAATGACGAGCCGTCGTCGCCAACCGTCCACCCTTGTCAAACATGAAAGAACCTTCTCCGCAAAAGCTAGGTGGTTATTTCCCCTTGCGATGACACGGCAGCATTCTGTCCAGGGCAAAATATTGGCGATTGGCCGTTGTTGCGTCGCATCTCTCGGCGTCTTGTTCCACCAAGCTCAGCACCTCTTGGCGCTTGGCTGGCCTCTCTCATCTTGGCGCCTCGCAGCCCTCGTTCCGCTGACTCCATCCCGCTCGCTAATGCAAGCCTGGTCTTGTCCGCCGAGGAAAATAAGCAAACCAAGCTTCTTGCCAAAAGACACCAAGTGAGCCACCACGACCAACATGAAAATCTCATGTAAACTCTCCGATGAAGAACGCTCGCAACCGTGGGGATGTCGGCTGTTATCTAAGATTTTCTATGATCACTCTTAGCCGCGATTTCCCCATACTGCATTCTGCCGGCAAACAAATCTCGCTTTCAAGAAGCGAACATATCATTTCCATGATCGACGTCTCGAAACAATCCCCCTCGCAGGCTGCGCGTACCGCCAGCCGCGAAACAGTGACTCCCCCGTGAATGGAGAACATCATTGGCCAGGGGGCCACCGCGCGCGGTGAGGGCCAATGTAACTCAAACCCCTGATGAATGCTTTCCAAACCCCGCTTACTCACCCACTGTCCCGGAGACTGTCCGGACGCTCGCATTCTTTCCGAGCCAGACTGAGTTAGACCGGGCTCGGTAGGCTCCGGCGCCGTTCGTCGCCCGACCGCAGACGGGCCAAAGTGGATCCTTCGCATACCGCATTGGGAATGCGAAGCATCCACACCACGGCGGAGTTTCGGCTTTAGCGGGCGAGACTGCATTGCAATCCGTGCCGCACTATTTGATTAAAAAAGCCACTTCTAAAGTTCTTCCTCCCGAACGTGCAGCGGAAGGAATATCATTCCATGGCTCTACCCGACTAGTGCGACATGGCTTGTCCGCTTACCATCTAACCCAATGTGAAATGCGAGGCTATGCGAGGATTCGTACTTAGTAACTTGCGATATAAAACAACTCCTCTGCCAGCTTGCAAAAGTCCCAATCCAATTCGTATCTTGTAAATCCATAATCCAGACACCAAATCACCCCAAGGGGCTTCATCTCCAATACCGCAATAATGGTCTCCCTCACCGAGGTCCGCGCCTCCAATGCCGCCCTGACCTCCTCCTCCGTCCCCAAAACAGCCCTCTTCGTAGGCGCCACTTCGGGCATCGGAAAATACACACTCACCGAGCTCGTCTCGCTCAACCTACCTATAAAATGCTACGTCGTCGGGCGCAAGGCCAGCGAGCCCGCAATGCGCCCCGTTCTCGAGGCCCTGCGCCTCAAGAATACGCAGGCAGAGCTCGTGTGGGTCGAGGCGGAGGTGTCGCTGCTCTCTGAAGTGAAGCGCGTATGCGAGTTCATCAAGGAGAACGAGGAGAGATTGATTTGCTGTGTTTGACGGCGGGATATGCGCCCTTTGGAGGACGGAATGGTGAGTATCTTTTGCGTGAGTGGTGATAGAGTACTTGGTTAACGGTGGAGTACAGATACAGGTGAAGGCATTGAAGTTACCCACGCGCTGCAGTACTACGGCCGCATGCTCTTCACCCTCTCCCTCCTCCCGCTGCTCCGCGCCTCCCCGTCGCCGCGCGTGCTCACCGTGCTGGGCGGGAGTTTCCTCTCCACGAACCTCCTCGTCGACGACCTGGACCTCCGGAAGGCGGGCAACTTTGGCGGGATGCGCTCGCAGACGCACATGAGCATCATGAACACGCTCTTCCTGGACCGCCTAGCCTCCGACCCGGAGAATGCCAAGATTACGTTTGTGCATAACTGGCCTGGGGCGGTGGACACGGGGAATATGGCCCGGTACCACGCGCCGAGCTGGCTGTCGCCGGCGCCGGTGACTGTGCTGTTGAAGCCGGTGTTTTGGGTGCTGGGGACGGGCGGGAGGGAGGCGGGGGAGAGGCATGTTTATAATGCGACGAGTGGACGGTTTGGTGGGATGGGACCGAGGGGGGAAGGGGAGGTTGAGAAGGGGACGGGAGGGGAGGAGGGGAGGGGGCTGTTTTTGGTGGGGAGGGGGTGTGAGGTTGTTGAGAGGGGAGGAGTGTTGGAGGAGTTGAGGGGGGCGCAGGGGGTGGTTTGGGGGAGGACGATGGAGGTTTTGGGGCCGTACTTGTAAGAGGTCAGCGTGGCGTCAAGATTTGCATCTCATGAGAATTTTGAGGAGGGGCTGCGGGCAACTCAGATCTAACTTCTTACAGCGGATCCGTCTCACACGCTGCATATGTTTGTTTATCGGCACGAATGTTCGCGGTGATACAGAGGAACGATATCCAGAAGTCAACGATAGGTGGAAATGTTCCTTCTATGAACTGCAGATTTATTGTGTAAATGAGGGTGAATCTCAAGTAAAGAACCTCAATTTGTAAGTATATGAAAGGACTTGTCACTGGCAACTTACTTAACAATTCCCTTTAGCGGTAGAGATGGACATTACTGGGCGGTGTCCATTGCGGGATGCTCAATCAGCAGCCACAAATCTTTTCATATTCTACTGCCTGTTATTAGCTATTCAGCCCGTAAATCATACCTAGAGCATGCCTCATAATGGCGCCGGCAACATTACTTTCGACTTGCATAAAACACAGTTGGCGACCGTCTCGGGTCATAAAGCGGTCGTTCGTGGCTATAGGGCTTTATATGATATCTAGAGCAAAGTTGAGGGTGTAAAGGAAATGTCCGAACGGGCCTTTGCCAAGGAACAGTTTATTTGCCAAAGGGATAGGAGAGAACAGGTAGATATCAAGTTGTAAGTATACGCCAGAGGGTTCAGAGGACGTTGGAAGTAGATGCAAGTGCACCTCTGGGCTACGGATGTATGAGACCCTTACTCCATTGCTGTTACACCAGCACCTCTGGTACATCGTTTCTTTCACAGTTGCTTGAGACAAGCGATGCTGCCATATAAGTTAGTCTCATCAGGCAATGAACTGCGGTAAATGGTCTGAATTTTCTCTCACTCCAGTCCAAAACTGACAACGTTCTTAGGCTCCAGCTTTGCCCCATATCATTTGCATCGCACATTTTGTACTGTAGCTCTGTAGTACCTGATCAATTACCCACCGTTTGGTCACACTTGTGACTTACTAAGTGAATTCAAAGCGTTCATTCATCAGGAGCTAGATCACTAGGTAAAAGTTGGGGGGCTGTCTTTGTGGCTTTCAAACTGGTTGCAGGAGTCGTGACATTAATCATTGTTTTTTCTGCCAGAAACTTTCTGGTCATATCATGCTGCTGGTCGACTGCACTACCCAAGATTATCAAAATTCACCAATTTTCTCTAGGGCAATTTGCTAAACCACAAGTTTTATTACTCATTTGTAGAGAGTATCGATCTTTCTGAGTGTGGTCCGGGTGACTATGACCGCTGTGCAGTCGTCCACCAAAGCCAAGAAATGCTAGGCCTGTGAACATACGAATGAATGCATTTTATGAGCCATTTCTTTCACAAAAGATAGTAATTGGATTTGAACAGCTTGTAGTTAGGCCGAAGATGAGGTGTACGTGATGAGGGGGCTGGTTGTACAAGCTGTCTTCCACACCGCTATGTGCGATCGTTGCACAGCAAACCGGCAAGGCTGCGGCTGAGAAGCTTTAAGACAATGATGACGTGGATGTGTCTTCAATTTTCTGCTGTGAACCCAGGCTAATAGAACGCACGTAAGCAGTCTCCAATAAGAACACGCCTTGGGTTGCTTCTTGTTTGCCCAGCCTGCTGTTGTGACGAGGGAGCCGGTGCAGGGAGAGTGACCGAATAAAAATGCGCCAAGGTTGGTGGAGATATATAGCATGGCCTCCCCAGTTCTCTGCGATCCTGTCCAGCGCGGACATTACCTTTCCTTAATGGTCCTCATAGGTCTCTCCGATGACAGACGCCTTTCTTCGACGGCAGGAGCCAGAGAGCCCGAATTGCTACAAGGATTGCGCCAATGCACCAGAAGAACTGCTAGCCAACCCAGACGTTGGCGGTATCGGGGTAGGCAGGCGTTATTGGCGCCGAATAAATCATGAAGAAGGCTTTTAGAAAAGATGCTGACAAGTGTGTCGCCCCCCCCAGGTATTAGTAGGATTTGTAGCGACAGCGTGGCTCGTGGTCTTGCTCGTCATCTTCCGCTACTGTGTAGCCTTCGACCCCACCGCCGATCCACTCGCCAACCCAAGACGAGATAAGAAAGACAAGTTTCGACATAGCTGGAAGCCGAATCCCATAGATGTCAAGACTATCAACCTGTTCTCGGGTCTTCGCCGACATCTTGGCCATCATTCACACTGGAATGTAGCCTCAACAAAGGTCTTCGAATGCCCATCGTCTTCCTCAAAAGCTTCGCTAAAATCGAATGAATAGATCCTTCTCAAATTCTGCGATGTCCAGCTTTTGACTGGTTTCGGGCTCCTATTCAGCAGCTTCGTCGGCTTAACTTGCTACATGTCGGCATATCACTGGCAGATCATTAGCTACCTAGCCTGGTTTTCAGCCCTTACGCATGCCGCCTGCCTCACAGCCCTACGAGAGTACTTGTACCACCACCAAATGGAGCGAAATTTCCGCATGATTTTGATGATAATCTTGCTGGTCGGCTTGATCATAGCCATATGGCCAACGGGGTATTTCAACTGGGATGCAAGACTTGTTGAGACGCAAGGCACCGCAAGCGTGCCCACTTCGAATGCGCGTTGCTTCTTCAGCCAAAAGTCAATTCAATCCGCGTGGGAAGGTCGGCTTTGCGGGCAAATAGGTGGAAGTGATAAGTATCATTGCAATTTCAAAGAGGACGAATATGGCAGGGAACTGAAGCCTTCAGCCACTACAGCCTACGACTCATCCATTTTGTCAATAGTGCTGCTAATATTCAGCTTTTTCACTCGCTCGGTCAAAATGTTCCGCGCGCTTTCAAAGATGACCAAGAAAACTATTCGACAGAAGCTTGGCCACTGGGCAGCGTCTTGTCTCACTGCCACGGCCAGACGCTATCCCCATTTCGGAACTACGGCATTGCGACGGAAGCTCTTGTCCGTGTTTAGGCCTCTAGACGTGATGGTTGCTCTATATCTGGTTGTCAAACTGTACCTGGATGTGCTTCTGTCCGAAATGTCAGATGTGAGTACTACCCATTCCACGCTGAGAGATGTCGCAGGGACCGAACTACCAAACTGCACATACGTTTATTGACGAAAATGTGCAGATCTTCTGGCTTCTCATTTCCTCGCTCTGGGGTACAGCTCGTCTTTTTATGGCGCGCGGCTCTGCCGACGTTCTCGGCGCGGAAAACGAGTGGGGCTTTGGTCAGGTTCTTGCCGTCTTCCTTCTATTGGGTCCAATCACGGCAGTTTGTTTAGCACTTTTCGCCACCATCAGGAGACAAAGGAAGTCGAGGAAGAAGCTAGCTGGAGAACACGAGGACTCTATCACACATGCAGTGTCTCTACTTGCTTCATATCGAGCTGGTAACTAAAAGCCTCGAGCTTTGCAAGATCAAGGATTAACTCATCAAGCAGAGATAACCGCAAATCAGGCAACAAGCACTGCTGTAATAGACCGTGTGTCAAGCATCCTCCAAGGTATTGGGCCAGAGTTGAGGGTCAATCTCTCAGCTGGGGAACGAAACTCTGCAGAAACTGAGTTTGAAGCGATCCCACTAGATGAGTTTCAGCAGTTTCCAGAGGATGTTACAGGTACATACGCCAACCCCCCGTCGAAGCCAGCATGTTCGGCACCGGTATTCTCTGATATTGGTGATGGAATTGTCACCTTGCCGAATCAAGAGACCGTCGCGGGGATAGACTACATAGACATGCGGGCGTCACTGTCTTTCCGCTTCTCGCGGTCACAGTGGATGACCATTGTCATGTGGTTTTTCTTTTTGCAGTTTCTCTTTCTGGTCGCTGCCGTGTTCTGTTTTCTTATATTGAGTCCACTCATTCTTACCCCAGACTTCAACCGGCCCTCTATGTTGCTGAAAAGCTCTGTTTTCTCGGCTCTTGCCGTACATCCTCTGAATTTGTTTGTTGCAGTTACTCTCGGACTGTACATCGGTGATGGCCGGACGTCAAAATTCCAAATGACATTGCTTTGCTTTCTGCTCTTCGCAATTCTACTAGGATGGAGTCTCGTCACCCTCATACCTGGCATTTCGGAATACTTTAAGTACTATGTGTTGTGCCCGTTGATCATCACAGTCATTCAGTTTTTATACCTTAGTTTTCGATAGGCGAATGGGAAAAGAGCCTTGCTCTCGGCTATGCGGTTGATGTGAAGATCGGACCAACACAGATTGGGTGCTGATTTCGAACAATGACTTGCAATACAAAACAAAGCAGACATGAGCCTTTTCCAGCAAACACTGTAGATATGATTTGACTACACTATGAGTTGGGAAGTTGAGCGTCAAGCAGTGCCATGCTCTTTGGCACCATCATTCTTAATTACTCCTGCACTGGTTTCACAAAGATTATATATGTTCACTTTAACTATGACCCATGTGTATAAATACTGATCCAAGACACTAGTGCGATGGATGTTGCCTTTCTTGATAAACTTAATGTTGAAGCGTCCGCTGAGCCCCGACTTCACGCCAACACACCGCAAAGTCCCACAATAGTCCCAACAAATGCAAGCAAAGATCTTTTCCAATCAGTGCGTCCCCAGTCTGCCACAAGCTTCTTCAGGTCCGTTTTCTCGCCCCCATTCGCTCCAAGCTGCCCGTTGATGGCCTCGTTGAACGGGTACGACACGAAGATGGTGTATGGCACTATTGCCCCAACAAACCCGGCCGCAGCAGCAAACAGCTGAAATCGAAGATTTCCAGCCTTCATGGGCTCTTCGTAGGCCAAGTAGGCGAAGCTGGCAGCAGTGCCAGTGACGACAACCTTCCCGACGTAGCGGCCGACGTCCCAGGCGCGTTTCCACTGCTGAGCGACCAGAGGGGACGGCGCCTTCTGAACCGCGGGCATGAAGACAAAAGCGCCACTGAAGTAGTAACCTGTGGCATTGGAACGTTAAAATTTGCTGGGTGAACGAAGTAGCTTGAAAACTGACCACTCATGAACCCTGCCAGGGTGAGGGTGAGGGCTTCGGGAGAGACAGGCATGGCGGTTGATAACGAAGTAACCGATTGGTGATTGTAATTTTTCACTGCAGGTCAAAAAGAGAAGTTTAAGCAAAGGTTTTCTTTGAGATAAATACTTGCACCGTCTTGGGGACCCGAACCGTCAGCTGTTCAGATGGAGCTGGGCATTGCCGTTTTAGGAAGTTTCCGTGCGGCCTATACAATATCCCCAGCGAAGGCAATAAGTTCTGCCGGCCCATATTTAACAAATTTCCCAATCAATCTAACTAAGTCTATCATTCAATACCTTATGAGATGATCGAACTTCCAGGTCGTCTGAGATCTTACAGACTCACCTAAATAGGCCCCCTCATCATGGGGCGAATTATGAGCTCAAGTAACACACAGAAATAGCGACAGATATTCTACATATGCCTTAGAATCATCTTATCAATAGCTTTTGAGATGTTGACTTTTAGTGTGGTATTCTAATTATTAAGTCCCCTAATAAATTGACTTAGATATGTATTAACTACATATCCTTAGGTATAAGCAAAAACTCTGCGCGTGGTTTTTACAAGGCCTATCGCTCTCATTAGGCGGATTATCTATTTATCTAAGCTACCCCCTAGTAGCTAAGAAGCACTATTTTAACCCCTATAATCTAACACACCCCCTTAGGGATAATTAGTATAATTACGTAGTTATCCCTATAGCTTAATTAAGTATTTCTAAATAGCTTTAATTACTTCTTATTATTATAGTTTTAATAGTTTTATAAGTTATAAAATAATAGCTTTTTTTACTATAAATAGTTAGAGTAATAAAATAAAATATTTTCTACTTTATTTAACTAGCTTAAAGCTTTTAATTAGTTATAGTTTTGCTAACTACTTTAGCTCTCCTTAAAAATAAGAAAGTAAGTAAATAATTTTTTACTACTTATACTTCTTATTATTTTTCTTCCCTTTTTTTTTTAGTTTTTAAGATTTTATAAATTATATATTATCCTTATACTACTTTTTTACTACTATATTAATACTTATTTTAAATAAATTAAATACTTTATAATATCTTCTTATAATACTTTTAATACTAAATATAAAGCTTATTTTATTACCTCTTATACTAGCTATATATATATGCTTAAAACCTCTAAGTATTATTACTTAGCTTACTTTTTCTCTAATTTCTCTAATAACTCTAAAGAAGATAAACTAGCCTCTCTTATTAGTTCTAGCTATTAGTTTACACTCTTTTTATAAATATCTTTTATTATTAATTTTCTTCTTATAGCTTCTATCTTTACTTTACTTACTTACTTTTCTAGCTATACTAAACACCTTACTACTTAGCTTATTAAAGAGGAAAACCTTAATAATAGCTAAATTAAAGAGACTCTTATTAAAAAGAAGTATAACTACCTCTTTAATATCTAATATTAAGCTAAAAAAGAGGCTAAAGAGAAGAAAGAGATTAAAGAAGCTAAAGCTCTCACTTTCTCCCTCACTAAATAAAAAAAGAAAAATTATACTACTAAACACCTTATTAAATATATTACTACTAAGAAAAAAAAGTAAGAAAAAGAGGAAGCTACCCTTTAAGCTATTTATATTAATATAAAGACTATTATTATTATTACTATTAATAAAGAGGAAGAAGAGGAAGAGAGTAAAGTTATTATAAATACTAATAACCCTTTTAACTCTATAAACTCCTCTCTTAAGTTAGAAGATAAACCCTACTTTAACTACTCTCTCTCCTTTAGTAGAAGCTATTTATACTTTAGCTACTACCTCTTTAATAAAAACACTTATTACTACTACTATATAAAGAGTAGTAGCTACTTTATAAATACTAAAGAGATTATTACCTTCTATTATAAGCTCTATAAAATAAAAAAGCATACTAAAAGTAATAAATCTATTTCAGCTAAAGTATAAATTATCTCCTATTAAGTATTTCTATATAGTTATTAATTTTTCTATAGAGAATTAGTATTACTTAAGAAGACCTTTAGGATACTACTTATAAGGTTATTATAGCCTATAAAGCTACTAAGAAGTAAAGTATTACCCCTCTTAAATATATTTTATATATTTACTACTCTACTCTAGCTCTTATACTCCTTACTATTATACCTCCTCTTAGCTTATTTCCTCTTTATCTAGAGACTTTAATTTATACCTCTCTTACTCTTTTAAGTGTTTTCTTTAGTTTTTACTCTACTCTAAGTTATACTTAAAGTACTATTATAGCTACTTACTATAACCTTAACTATACTCTCCTCTATACCTCTAAATCTAGCTATATTAACTTTAAGAAGTTTTATAACTAGCTTAATACCTTTAAGTTAACTATCTCTTTAGCTACTTCTTATAAAGCTATCCTCTCTATTCCTACCCCTAAAAGTATTTAAATATTCTTATTTTATAATTTCTTAATATCTTAAAAGCTTTAGCCTAAAATAGTTTTACTTTTAAGCTATAAACCTATAGATATTTAGTCTCTTTAATAGTTTTCTACTTTAAATAGAAGTTTTTTTATACTTTTTACTCCTTATTTTTATAATTCTTTATACTTATTATATAAAGTTATTTTAAATATCTTCTTTCTCTATTTCTTTCCTCTAGCTTTCTTTATTTCTTTTAAGCTTAAAAGTATAGTTTCTTTTAAAGGTTTCTTCTTAACTAGCTATTCCTAGTTATACTTAGAAGTTCTTAAAAGCTTACTATAAGAAGGACTTTATAAAACTATCTACTATTAGCTATATAAAAGGAGTATATACTACTAATATATACTTCTTATAGATCTCTTAATAAAGCTAATAGTTATAAATATTAATATAGTATAACCTTATTTAGAGATAGATAAGCTTCTTAATAACTAGCTTAACTATTTATTAGTTATTATATTAGATTTATATTATTATAAAAGTACTTTTTATAAGTTAAAAGGATACTTCTTATTTTATCTCTCTAAGGAGTTATACTTAGAGAGATATTATAAAGTAGCTTATAAATATTACTTCTTAAGCTATAAATAAGAATAAAAAAAGCTTTACTTCTATAGTTAAGGTTATTATAGTTATTTATTTACTTACTTTCTATATAATAATACCTCTAAAGAGCTTTATTATAAATCTTTAAGAGCTCTTTTAATCTAAAGTATTATTACTAATATTTATATTAAAAGCTACTTTAAAAGTATTATATAGGTTTTTAGCTTTAACTCTATATTTAATATATAAGTAGTATATCTTATAGAGATACTATAAAGCTTAATTTATAGCTTATTAGTATTTTAGTTTAAAATTCTAATTAAAATAAGCTAGATAACTTACTATAAATATAAGATCTAATCTTATTATTACTACTATATATAAGATAATCCTTACCTTTCTCTAATAGAGATTAACTTTACTATTTAAAGCTTCTTCTTTATATAAAAGTAGCTTAATATACTTTATAGAGGTTCTATTTTATATCTTTAAAGAGTATCTTAATAAGAAGAGTCTTCTTACCTTTTCTATATAAACTAATTATAAGAGCTAGAGTTTTCTTATTTTTTAATTATAGAGAACTTTAATATTAAGAAACTATTATAAGTTTTTATTACTTTTAAAATAATATCTCTTTTAGAGTTCTTTAACTACTTCTTTAGCTTCTTTTTAAGAAGCTATTAAGTAAGTAAGTATATAGTTATCTATATAAAAGAAGAAGTATATTTAACCTTTTCTCTAATAGTAATCCTCTCTTATTATTTATAAGAAGTTTAACTCCTTTAGTCCTTTCTTAAGATAATACTACTATAAGAGAGGAGATTAATAAAGTTTATATAAAGCCTTTTTAAACTTAAGTACCTTTCTAAGCTTCTTATAGCTAAGTAGAAACTTTATATATACTATCTTATTAAGCTTAATATATATAAATATATTTACTATATTATATTAGAGAAGTTTTAAGTTAAAGTAGTTTATTATAGCTATTAGAGTTTAAAATAATATTTTTATAAGAGTTATAGTATAAGTATCTTAAGTATCTTTTATTTATTAATCTCCTTAAATTACTAAATAAGCTTTTAGCTTTATAAGTCTACTATACTTATTAAGCTTATAAATATATACTTAATAATATCTAAAGACTTATTAATCTCTTAAAGCGTTTCTTATAATTTCTTTTTATAACTTAGACTTCTTATAACTTTATAAGTAAGATTTCTCTACTTATAAGAAACCTTCTACTAAAAAGTAGTAGTTAAGCTTTAAAAGATTATATTTCTTCTTATAGTTTAGCTATTCTTCTTAACTTAAGAATTACTAATATAATATTAAGAGGGGAGGTAACTCTTACTAATAAGTACTTATAAAGCGTAAATATATAGACTAAGCTACTCTTAATAAGAGGGAGCTTCTAAAAAGTATTTTATACTTCTCTAAGCTTTTTCTAGAAGCTTTTAAGCTTTTAATCTCTATTTCTTTACTTTATAGCTTTTCTATTATATCTATAGATTAATCTTCCCTTATAGCTATATAAAGCTAGCTAAGCTATATATATAAGCTACTTAAGCTATTTAGTCTCTAGAAAGTATAAAAATTCTTATATAGATTACTTCTTACTAAGAATATAACTTTAAATAAGGTTTTAAGAGTTACTTTTATTACTAATAAGCTTATTTCTCACCTCTTTATATTAGAAACTCCTTAAAAAGCTTTACTAAGTACTATAAATAGGCTTATTAGTTTTAAAGAGAGAGGTAATATTAACTAAAGCTTAAACTATATATTTATATATAGCGCTATCTTCTCTAGTTATTCTTAGTTAATCTCTTTTCTTATAGTAGTTTTAATATAATTAAAGATCTTATCTACTTCTTTATTAGCTTTTTATCTTATAGGAGTGCTATAAGATACCTTAATAAGCTAAGTAATATATTCTTAGATTACTTTAAAGTCTATATAATAGAACTCTTCTACTATATATATTAGATTTCTACTATAGAACTTCTTCTTATTAAACACTATATCTTATATAGTAAATATT